CCAGTACAGGTGTTATGACTTTATGAAAATACTGATGTATCGATCGCGAACTTTGGTCTTCTCTCAACATCCCCTAAGCGTTTAAGTGTCTACCCACAGCCGAACAAACGAAAAACACAAAGCCAAACAAAAATCCAATATTAAAGTAATAGTTATCAATATACGGTTCAATTTCAAGTTTCTTTCTGTTTGTTTATATACTGTTTAGCTGTAGCGTCTCAACAACATCGATATATTTTTAAGTATTAGGTCCGGCTGTTTGTTTTACTGGTCTCCAGACGCAATTGGTCCGGCGACAATAATGTGGCAATATTTCTCAATTTTCTTCGACATTCAAGGAAATCTCAGACACTGTAATCACTTTTAAAGGATAAATCTCCCATCCACAACTCACCAAAATTCAATTTAGGTGCTGGTGGAAGCCAGCAAGTTTTAGTTTGTTCGTGTTCCATCTCAGATGCCTAACGTCTTAGCAATAATGTACTCTAATACTACCGTTGCATACTGAACAAATAATAAATAATCGACAGCTTCATCTGAGACCGTTGCTATAAGAATTCAAGCAGTCGAAATCTCAGTCATTAAAGAGATATTGTAGACAGTAGTTATCTTAAAAAAAAAATTATGAGGGTGATATTTCACTGAAATATCTTTCTTTACTTAAAAAATTTAAAACGTAATAATACACCCTGAAACAGCTTAATTGTTATTATATAAAGAGGAACGGGAATTGATATTTGTCATTTACATCGATTACAAATCAACCCAGTCCTGTTTTCATAAAGGACAGTTTTATTAGTTTCTAACTAATAATAATACTAATTTGAACTTATCCAAAAAAACTATATAGCGTAGGTATGTGTCTTGCCAAAAACTGGACAAGCAATTGGGCTGGTTTTAAACTTGAAATATTTATCTTACCCGTAAAGTTTCTCATAACTTCTAATGTACTACAAATAGGCTACATAATTATTACTGATACTCATTTTGAGTTTCACTTAAATTTCTGTATTTACCACATACTGTGTCAAAAAATAAATAAAACAAAGCCTTCGCAATATTAATTTACATGTACCAACTTTCAACAATTGAGTAAAATTTTACAACTCTGGTTCTTACTACCATAAACAATAAACAGTGTCTATACTAATAGAATAAAAACTAAAACATTTATACAACAAAGTGTAATGTTTTATACAATCAAGGTACAAATAAAATTTACTCACAACCCACACTGTAATTGTGCAGGTTTTGCATAACTAACAGAGTCAAAAATAAATAAAAATTTTCTTTTTGCAAAATACGGGGCAATCAAAAAGTGGACCGTAACAATCATATACAAATATACAGGTTCTGAAAAGAAATGGAAAATTATAACATTTTACACGTTTCAACGATCTGCCAGCATGAAAAATAAAAGTTATATGCAGTGACCACCATTTTTTTCCATTACCTTACTGTTTTACATTTTCAGTCTTTCCAGAGAGTGACAGAGCATATGACTATTTAGTTATAAGCATATTTACCTGAAAAATATCAGAGTCCTTCATATTGAATTTGGCCTGGAATAATTCAAGAGTAATTGTAATTATATTTTGGAGGAGTTTTTAGCACCTTATATTAACGACATCTATTAATCATTAACTGAATTGATAAAAATATTTCAAGGTATTTAAAAAAAACATAATAGATGAATGCTCTCCAGGGTATATTTTGGGCGCCTGTAGCATCAATCATCCTTCGTGTATTAACGTTCTAAAATGATCTGACTGTGCTTAGCAAAAATGGCGTGTTAGTATAAGAAACGTCAGTGGAATCAGCATCGGATTGTCAACGACACCGCTGTAATTTATATGAAAACTTGGCGATATCCACTTTCTTTCTGTTATATACATCTAACATGGGTATATGCCATCGCAAAATTGCTTTTAACTCCCTCCGCCATTATATTAAATTATTTTTATTATGCTATATTCAAGACGACTCTCATAGTTTCTGTTTTTGGAATCAAAGCTAGTCTAATTCGAATGTATATTGATTGTGCCTTTTATTTCAAATCATTTTGAAAGGAAGCTTTGGGGTCGAGAGAACGAAAAAAATAAATTATGGTAATAATATGAGAAAATCCCACAAATAATACTCTAATATGATCGTATCTTTTTTGATATATCGCAGGTTTTTTTGTGTTGTATAACTTTAGTTTTATTAAATTTATATTTATATCGCATTATTTAATAAATTTTATTTACTTATAGGTTTTGTTGACTTTTTTCCTTTGCCTTTGCCCTAAATAAAAGCAGTCAGTTCATTTCGGTTTTATATTTGTGCATATATGATCTGTCTATTTATAAAATGCAATAATCTACTAAGATGAGCATTTTAATATTATTCGCTTAAAAATAAAATAATACATTTTAAATTACAGAAATCCAATTTTAAACGGCTTTCCTTCTTTTGCTGTCGTTGGGCGATTTATGACCATTTGAAATGTTTATATGAAACTTATCACGGAATGGATTTGAAACATAAAATTAAATTTTGTTAGAAAGATAATCACGCTTGGTTCCCGCTTTCTTGCATATGTGGTAGAGAATTATGAAAGATTTACCACGGAATTCCTTAAAACATCATCCTCAAACTGCGGAAGTTTTCTACATTCTTATAATAGTCGTACCGAGAATTATATTAAATACAGTTTTCAAAGCAAATAAAAAATTACATGTATTTTGCACGAATGAATTCAGAACAGATTGATAAACGAATATCTGGTACAGAAGTACAAATATCTCGTTCAAATGTTAAGTTCCGGAAAGTTGCCAATAAATTACTTGTGATTTTAGGTAAATCTACAAGGAGAGTATTCTGTGCTCAGTTACGCCTGAAGCTACTTTAACTTTTGATACAATTGGCACATTATCACAGGTTTTAACAACGCCTGACTGTCATAAAATTAAAAGACTAAAGAAGCAACAATAACATTTTAAAATGGCCTATTTAATAAGATTAATTGTTCTACAAGGAATTTATAGAGCTGATTTGGAATAAGAATTAAGTTTTAAAACTTAAGTCAAATCATAATCGTCCTGAAGTTGGGCCCATTGATATGATGAGAATGATAATAAAGCAAAGAGAGCCGCAGAAGAACTCGGTCTCGACATAACGCGGCTTTACGAGTGCTATATTGCCAAGGCAATCATACGGGGTAGGCCAGACACCAGTGCTGCTTTACATCCTGGGAGATAACGAGTCCGTTGTCGAGAACGAAAAATGCCGAATTTACTGAAACTACTCGTTTCCGACCGTAAGGTTAATTCAAGCCAACAAGCCTGACAGTCCTCGACCATCAACTCAAGGAGATGTATGTCATCGAGTGCTAGGCACCTGTTGAGAAAATTATTACCTTGAGGATGAAAAACGGACTAAATATCGCGATCTCCGGTAGGAGCTTCAAGGCTACTCGGTCAAGATGGTCGTCCTAATAATCGGTGTACTTGGAGGGATAATACCTACGCTGCCCTCAGAACTGAAGATAATACCGGCCTGTCAAAAAATCAGCCGAGTGGCTGGCAGGCTGCAGAAGGCGGTTATTCTAGGTTCTCTCCGTCTACTTAGGACACTCGATTCTGGAATCTACAGCCACTAACCCTGAAGGGTGTGGGTTGCGACTATAAGTATTATGCTGACGCTCCTCCCTTGAAGTCTGGAGACCATGGGAGGACTGTACAGCGTCGGAAAACTGAAAAAAAGAGAGGAAAAACCTAAATTAGACAACCCCCAAATCCAAAGACGATGATGTCAAGAAGGGGGTTATACATAGAAAAACGTGGATATTTAATCATCCTCACCGAGATTGCCGGTGGCGGGATTCGAACCCGCAGCTACGATAGAAAGATTTTTTGTCATGCTTGACATCGCGTGCTCTAGCCAACCGACCGGCGATGAAACCTAACAGTGAAACAATTTACGTAAATACAAAACATGCGATACTATACTCGATGCGCATTTCGCCAAATAAGGTAGCATCATCTGAATATGGTTAAAATTCAGAAATTTAAGATCAAGGTACTTTCTCCAATGCTCCTATGGTCACGACGGTCTTATCCACAAAATTATGTTTTGATTTAAGTCGCTGAACACAATTGCTGCCTAGTGTTGTTCTATGATTCCCATACGACAAACAATACGGACCTTCTGAATTTGTGCCGCGCTGCTTTGTCTGTAATTAATATGTACTTAAAATATGTTTTATAACTAGTAGAAATTGGGAACTGGTACAATCCGAGTTGAAATTGTGTGGATGGTTCATTTTTTTTTTCGTGCTTTGCAGATTTAATTTATGACGGCATAAAACGGCGTTGGGTTGTAAACCTGTTTTTATTATGGCAATAAAGCGGTCGAAATAGGTTAGTCCAGTACAAGGAGGAAACGTCCTATTTGATTAATTTAACCTGTGTGGTAATGTGCGTGTGGTGCGTTTATGTGCGTGCTGTTTACTTCTCTGCTTCGAATTACCGGTATTATTCACAGAGCAACCATGAAATCACAACACGGCAGGGATAAGACGGATGGATGTGTATACGAAATATAGTTTACGACTTTAACAAATGTGTATTTTTTAAAGGCGTACGAATCTGGCTCGAATTGCATGAATAACTGTTACCTTGCCAACCAGGTTTTTAAAAGACAGAAATAAATTAATAATATTCATTATTTGAGAATAAAATTCGGCCTAAAAAAAAATTGATTAACAGTTGTTTTCTACAAGACAGTATAAACACAGGAAAATTTCCGTGAGTGCAGGGCCGGCACATGGGATAAAAAGGGCAATAACAATCATTTGTATGGAACAATTAAAATACATACCTCGAGTGTTAACATTTTATGAAACCTTATGTAGGTACTGTGGTTAAGAAATTGGTGAAGACAGTTGAATCTTTAAGCCAAGTTTTGACATTGGCAAATTGAACATAATTGTGTTGTCCATTATTTAACAAACCAGTATGTCAGTGGCTTAATGCTTAGACGTTAGGCTTAAAACCAAGGGGTTCCAGGTTCGAATCCTGGCTAGCGCATGGATGTAGTGGCGTTACTAAAATACCGAGACGGTAGCACATTTGGCTCGAAGCGTTGTTGGTAGCACAACACGGCTAGTCATTGTCTATCTCTCCTAAGTAGTCCTGAGTTCGATTCTCAGCTGCGGCATCTGGCAAATGTCGGACGGAATGGTTGCGTGCGTGCTTGTGTCTGTACTGGTTGAGTGATGGAATAGCAATGTGCTAAACTCCGCCAGGACGGTAATATAAATAAGACGAAAAAAAAGGGGCTTCCTCTAACTTAACCCAATGAAAATTTAAAGGAATTATTTGACAACTATAAAAGTTTGTTCATTGGCTATTAGAAAATTAGTACTTCAGATCACAATTCAGATTTTTATTTTTGGTATCTTTGAAACGATAGTGTCTCCGGACCCCATATTGCAACGTATGCGCCTCAAGGAAGACTGCGGAGATCTTGCAAATGTATAATCGAGCCCATCGACATTTTTTAACTTAACAATAGTAAGAGGTATGCCCCGTTCACATATAGATATATTCATGTGGCCTACGCCCCTGCTGGGCAGCGCGATTTGGTAACTCTAGTGCTAATACACTCATCACTTCACTTCATTTTTACCACCGTACGTAGAAAATCTATATCTTTACTTTTTCTTACATAATATGTTGACAAGAATCATAACCCGGAGATGGTTTTCCACAAAACTGATGTTTTAGACATTCCCAAACGATGCCAACTTGGTTGGCGAAACGCGCTTGGCTGCGAGGTGAAAAATTAATTGACCGTTTTTTCTGAAACTACTAACTAAAACTACAAATTGTCATCGTAAAATCATGGAACTCACTCAACGTTTCAAATATTCTCCGATCATCTTCAGGCAAATTAATAGAATTGCATAGATTGTATAGTTTTGCACAAAATATTAATTCTGTAAAAGAAATACATGAATTTTTCTAAGATCAAAGAACTGAAAAAAAATAAATAAAAAAGTATTCGCAGTCAGCAACACCCGAACCAAACTAGATTAATACTAAGATTTCCTATCTATCTAAGCGATATACGCATGCTCCTGAATATCCACGTTGGAAATCCAACTAGAAATCACAACAGACAAAAAGACAAGATAAATCATCTCTATGCAAGAAAAATATTTGTAAAGAAAACCGCAATATTCCAGCAGATCGCGAAGGAAATTGCAAGCGTTACTTTTCTAGAATCAACATCCCAGCAGGCGCATCGTATATTCGTATTTTCGCACGGTGGCATATCCTGAGAGCCCGATCCGGTAAAAAAACCCACCGGGTTATGCTTAAATAAACGGACAGAATTTCTTATATGGGCTTCCCGAATTCAGGCTGTACGACCGGCCGTATTTCACGCAAACCAACGATATATGTTGACAGGACTCATCTCTATACGTGACTGTAGAAAAAAAAGCTCATAAAGCGGATAAAGTCCATACGTACTCGATTTTTTAACTCCTAAAATAGAGAAATTTAATATGTTCAATTTTTACCCTCAACAAGAAACTGTGATTTAATTCTTCTGTTAGAAGAATAATTAAAAAAATATTGCATGTTACTGTTACACTCAGACGGTTAGGCTGTTTGAATTAATAGGAGAGGCTCCAGCTGCCAAACCAGTGTTAGTGATATTATTAATTCGTTTAATTCGTAGTGTTGAGCGGTTCTATAAATGAATAAAAAAATATAAGATATGGGAGAACGTGACATGGTCGATTTAACACTCGAGACAATAGCAATAGCAAGATAATCCGAAAAAAAATAAAGCCTCTTTGATAGTGATTTGTTGTTAGCAACGTCCCAAAATTATTTACACTGACTTGCAATCGTATCGGTATCGGAATGGTAACGCTCGTATATGTTATCAAATTTGAATGGCTTGTGTGTGCACGTTGTGAAATAATTTTGTCAGAAGTCATGGATCCTTTATACGGCAGGTATCTCCTTATAAGCATTTTAATCGAACAGTTTCAGTTGGTTACATATTTGAGTTTGATTTTATGTTTAAAATAAAAAAAAATAAATTGTAACCAATAATTACCGAGACCTACAACAATAATAATAATGATATAATAATAATGTTTATTGGTGTGTACAACAAAAACTATTTTCCATTAGTCCAATAAAAAAAATAAAAAAGTGGAATGAAAAAAATAATAACGCTGAAAAATTTTTTTGCTAATTATTATTTACTACTTTTACAAAACTTATCATAGATAAGTACAACATATATCTTTTTAAACAATTATTTTTCCGGCTATTTGCCAAAATGCTGAAACTTGGATTACAAAAAAGATAATATGCACATTAAGTTCAGTGTGATTGACTCAATAATGTTATTTTTAAATCCAACTAGTCTGTTCAGCAAAACCAAAAATAAATAAAACAAAAGGTACTCACCAGTTGAACAATCACTTTAAAAACTTTAAAACATCTGACGACACGTGTTTCTGCTTTTAGCTTCGTCTGGACAGCTCATTTAAAGGATGCAAAGCAACTAAATACTAGTAAACCCCAATGTAATAAACATTGATAGTTTTAGAGAACAGGATAATTGGAATTAAAAATAACATTATTGAGCCAATCACACTGAGCATAATGTGCATATTATCTTTTTTTGTAATTCAAGTTTCAGCGTTTTGGCAAATAGCCGGGAAGATAATTGTTTAAAAAGATATATGTTGTACTTATCTATGATAAGTTTTGTAAAAGTAGTAAATAATAATTAGCAAAAAAATTATTATTTTTTCATTCCACTCTATATTTTAAACTTTTACCAAGAAGAGGAAACCTAATGTATTTTTATTTTTAAAAAAATATATATGAAGTGAAAGTAGTATACATAAAATTCAAAAATGTATCTGTGAAACACAGTGTAGACTTATTAGCCCGAAACTCATGTTGACTGTTTGTAATAACATTGTATTTTCCAGTAAATTTTAAAATAAAGTCCAAATGACATTCAAATATTTTTGCGAATCCAGATAGGACAGTTATCGCTCTATAATTTTCCATAAACTGGGAAGCTTGGTTTTTTTATGAACTGAAACCTCTTTGCCTACTTTTAAAATTTTTGGAAAAGTTTCCGTTGAAAAAAATATTAACCAAATAAGTCATGGGTTGTAAAATGTAACCAATTATTTTTGAGAGTGTAATTTGAAAGTAAAGACTCAAAAGAACATTTAACCCATAGCAGCTGCTGTCTAATTTATTACAAAAAGTGTCTATATGACTTCCCCAATGCAAATGCCTCAATCAAAAGTTGTTTCTATATGTTTTAACTGATTCACAAGAAACAGTGTCATTTTCATTAAAAGGATAAATATCTAGGTTTCTATGTAATGTAAATAAAAATATTAGTTTATTTAGTTTATTTTTGCCAGACCATTTAATTATATTCACCGACACTAGTTGTTCTGCAATGTTATTAACAATATTTAAGTCATTGGCTACGATTAGATTATTCGTGTCATCGGCATAGCAGACGATAATAACATTTGATATTTTATTTAGATATGTTAGTGAATTATTGGAAAAAGCATTGAATAGGATATGACCTAAAACGGATCCTTGAGGAACTCCTTGTATTGTGTTATGTCTAAAGCTGGCCGAGGTCACCTGGCCGCCAGAGCCGTCATATGACTCATATGTTTACATCATATCATAATACTTGAATAAGTACAATAAATGGAAATAAATTTTAACAATAATGTTACATTTTATAAAAATTTGTATAAAACTCACCCTTTTAAGCAGATTTATGAAGTAGTTTGGTTGTCGTCGTCACAAAGTGGGGAAGATATATAGTATAATAGCATCAGGTATGTTTCTACAGCTGTCTCCGTCAGCGATGTTCGCTTTGGTGAAAAAATATGTTCGTATTTTGAAAATGACCGTTCGACATCTACGGATGTAATACAGGCATAAGTAAAACAATCTGTGAACTCACTTAACGAAGTTGTAGACGCACCATCACAAATTTGTCTTAATTTGCTAAAATCAAGATCTTTCTGTAATACACTCTCGAATTTTTCACTAACGCGATTATTTTTTGCGTCATTTATAGCCTGTAGCTGTGTATTTACGTCGTCCACTATTTGCAGCGATTCCACTAACGACAACGAACCATTTTGTAATTTTTCTATTGCGTCGTGTAGTCTTCTATAATTGTTATTAATAGTTTTTAAATTTGTTTCAAGGGAAACGTCTTGAAAGCTTGTTTGGCTTTCCCTAATAGCTGCAGCCTCGTTAGGGTTGAACTGTAGTATCACAGCTTTTATTTGTTGAAAATATTCAGCATAATAAAAAGCCGCTTTCAACCACGTTCCCCAATGTGTAAGAATCGGCTCTGGTGGTTCAGGGATACCAGGACACTGTCTGTGAAATGCTCGAAGCCGTTTAGGAGATTTGAGAAATACTTTTTTTGTATTTGCTATTAATGCATCTACCTCTGGAAAACAACAAGATGTAACGCATGCACTTTACACGTAACATGTAAAAACCTACAATTGTCTCTTTGAAGAGAACGGCCTACCACGCGCATTGTCGCGGCACCTTCAGTCACAAACATCAATACTTGACTTGTTGAAAGTTCAAATTTTTCGAATGTCTCCAACACCACACGCGTAATTATTTCGCCAGTACACGCAGTTAGTCTTTTACTAGCTAGTAAAAGTGGAAATGTTAGTTTAAGAGGGTCCAGTACACGTACTATAATATTTAAAATAGAATTTTTTTTACAATCTGTCGTCTCGTCAATACATAACCAGAGCCGTGTATTTTTTAATCCACATTTAATCCTATTTACAATGTCTTCACGAACAGCTGGAATATATCTACGTAACGATGTACGACTTGGTAAGTTCACCTGGGGATTGTATTTATTCCAAAACTCCCGAAATGGTTGTTTATCCAGTATGTGTAGCGGAATATTACAGGCTATTAACATTAACAATAAATCAAACATAAACTGAGTTGTCAAAGGCATGCCATTTTTTTTATTTTGATGTTGCACGGTATTGATATGACGACGACAATCTGTTTTGTGCCAGCACATTAAGTCTTGATTGCACACTTTACAAATTATTTTGCATCCGTCATAGAATAAATCCGGAAATTCACCGA